AAAAAAAAAAAAAAAAAAAAAAAAAAACACACACACACATGAAGACAAATAAAAAGTGAAGTCCTAGAAACCAGTAACACTTCTCTCCCCTCTCTGAACGACTGAGAGGGACAGCCCGCTTTCATGAATCTCAGGAGGTTGCAGCAGGAGGCTCCCAGATTCAAGGCCTGCCTAGACTACAGAGCGAGTTCAGGGGTAACCTGGCATCTTAGTAGAGACCCTTTCTCAAAATAAAAAGTAAAAAGGGCTTGGAAATATAATTCAATGGTAGAGTCCTTGCCCTGGGCTCAACCTGCCTAGAGGCAGATAGACAGACAGACACACACCACGACACAGAAAGAGACTGACAACATGCAGGTTGTATGTGAGGGTTGGGAGCATGAGCATCCTGCCTACTTAATGAATATATTTACACCTGTTGGAACCTGGAGTCCAATTACCGAGGAGGCATTGCCCCAATAGACCATTCTCATGCCGCAGTTGATGTAAAAGCATGAGGATTTTTCAGCATTCGAGAAGCCAGAAAGACCCCCAAATAGCTGGTACAGGATACTTTTAAAGCAAAAAGCCACAGAAACAAGGGGGGAGTCTGGGGGTTGTTCTTTAAACTATTATGACTGTCTTATTCAAAGGGCTATTACCAATAATTGGCTGGAGAGCGGTTGCCATATCAGGTGAGGTAAGAGGGAACATCTGAGGGTCACTTTGCCCCCTTCCCAGGGACTGAGTCAAAACATCAGGAACTGAGTCAACAGTTACCTTGCCCCTATTCTAATAACTGAGTTCTATTTGGAAAACATTTACAAGGACTCAGGGAGATGGAAAATCCCCAGCATTCCAATACGTGCATGTGTAGTTGTTAGGTCCTTGGTTCCCAGGGGAGGGGGGAGCTCTAATGCTGAGAGGCCTCAGCTTAAAGTTCTACACACCTTTATTTTCCTGGCTACACCATGACTTTGTGGGGCAAGCCAGGTCCTACAACCCTCCTCTGCTGTTAATGCTTAAAGTGTTAAAGTGTGGGCCATGGGAGGCATGGGCAGGCTTGTATTCTCATTCCTCAGCTGGTGGATTTAAAATGTTCAGTGTTACCTGAAATACCCAAATATCTAACTGAAGCCTCTTTGGACATGTTTCTTTAAGTATAGGAGAGCTGGACATGGTGGTGCATTGCTCCAGCTCTCAGGAAGCAGGGGCAGGTGAATCTCTAAGTTTAAGCCCAGCCTGGTTGGTCTACAGAGCAAGTTCTAGGATATCCAAAGCTATACAGAGAAACCCTATCTCACTGGACGGTGGTGGCACACGCCTTTAATCCCAGCATTTGGGAGACAGAGGCAGGCTGATCTCTGTGAGTCTGAGGGCAGCCTGGTCTACAAGAGCTAGTTCCAGGACAGGCTCCAAAGCTACAGGGGAAAAAAAGCCCTATCTCAAACAATCAAAAGAAACATTTAAGAGCAATAGTTTCTCCAAAGTTGCTATCAAGGACAATTGATGAGTCAGGATACACTTTTAAGTTTTTTGACAAATACTATGTTACCTTTCAGAAAGACTGTATAGATTGATCCTTCTGTCAGTCATGTAGGTGTCCCTTACCCCTTCCTGACACTGGCTGTCATTAGCTTAAAAGTTTAGCCAATATAATGACTGAAAGATGTTTCTCTGTTTGTTTGTTTGTTTGTTTGTTTATTATTTTTAAGGATTTATTTATTTATTATGTAGGCAGTATTCCTTCCATGTATGACCACACACGCCAGAAGAGGATGCCAGATCTCATTATAGATGGCTGTGAGCCACCATGTGGTTGCTGGGAATTGAACTCAGTACCTCTGGAAGAGCAGTCAGTGCTCTTAACCACTGAGCCATCTATCCAGCCCGATGTTTCTCTTTTTAAAAACATTATTATTAGTTGATTGGTTGATATTGTGTGTGTTTTCTGTGCACACATGTGTATGTGTGCGTGCACATGTCTATGTGTGTGTGCGCATGCACACACACAGGACAAAGTGCATGTGTGGAGGTCGGAGGAAACTTTATGGGAATCAGTTTCCTCCTTTCACCACATGGGTTCCAGGGATCAGATATAAGTCATTCAGGGTTGTGCAGCTTGTGCTTTTACCCACTGAGCCATCTCACCTTCTGGAAAACTGAATTTCTAATGGGCCAATTTTAGTATGAAAACTTCTGAAAATGGCTGGGGTAGAATGTGCTGTGTGCCACTGGTCCTCATCTCTTTCCCCCACTGTGATGGGCAGGAAGTCCTGAGCAATTCCTGCCTCAGCAGTTTTCAACCTGTGGGTCAGGATCCCTTTGGGGGTTGAATGACCCTTTCCCAGGGATCGCATATCAGATATCCTGCAAATCAGATATTTACATTGTGATTCATGACAGGAGCAAAATTGCAGTGAAGAAGTAGAGACAAAAATCAACCATCCTAGCTCCTCTCAGGTAGTAACTGCTGCTGTTCCCAGGTTTTGGGAGCTCAGCGCCTTCACCGGAGGTGAACACAGAGGTAGGGCGAGCGGAGCTGCTGAAACAGGTACTGCAGGATCTAGAGGTGCAGAATGCTGTATTGGTGAGCCCCTCACTGAGCGGCAGCTATGCCCTGCCCTTCTTGATGCGAAGACACCACCAGCTACGTGGCTTTGTGCCCATCGCACCTACCTCCACACGGAATTACACACGGGATCAATTCAGGGCTGTGAAGGTACTTAGCGAGCTGCAAAGATGCTGGCACCCTCTCCCTGTCCCTGTGGCTTGTATCACGTGGGGGGGGGGGGGTCCTAGAGGGTCGGCCCTTGCAGGTAGTGTGGGGACAAGGCTCCTTGAAGGAATAACTTGTGGGCTGGATCCTTACCGAAACCCAGGGCCAACAACTTCCGACCTTACGCCCTGCAGACCCCAACTCTTATCCTGTATGGGGAACTGGACCACACCTTGGCGCAAGTATCACTGCAGCAGCTCCACCACCTGCCCAACCACTCTGTGGTGAAGCTGCACAACGCGGGCCATGCCTGCTACCTCCACAACCCCGAAGCCTTCCACCTCGCCCTTCTCGCATTCCTTGACCATTTGCCTTGAATGGACTCACTTCCCAGAACTGACCTTGAAGGGTCTAGACCCTCTCTCTCCTCTCCCAGGGAGGCTGGCCCTGAGTGGGATTGAGGACAGAGGATCAAGCCCAGCCAGGACTTTTGATTTAATTTCACAGGCACAATAAAGAAAAGCCCTTTTGTCTGGCTTGGAGAGTGACATTGTGTTTCCTGACTTGTGTGGGGAAGCTGGGAGTGGGAGGCAAGTCTGGGCCTGCTCTGGGATGGATGGGGAGGCTGGAGGCGGTGCTCCTGTGAGTCTAAGTGCGCTACTTCCTCATAATCTGTGCTTCCTTCTCTGTGTCTCAGTTTCCTCCTCTTTAAAATGGGCACGGTGACAGTATCGGGAAATGATGGTGGGGTTGGATTACCTGGTAACATAGGACTAAGGGTGCTTAAAGGCAGCTGTTCCTGTGACTGCAGTTCCACAGGGATTGCTTCGGGAATACAAATGACTTCCCAACTACGTGCGAGCAGTGCAGAGAAGGTGGCGATGGCATGTGGTTTAAGAATTAAAACTGTTGTTGAACCACCAAACCCGATTGCTTCCTTGTTAGGGGTGAGCAGCCAGAGACTTCAACCCCAAGTGGGTGGGATGGCCCCTCTTTGATCCTGCCTGCTCCCTTGGTCCCAGGGTTGAAGTCTTCTGACCCTTCCCCCCTCCCCAAGCTGGCTCAGCCTCTGGAACAGAGGGCAGAACTCGCTGGGAGTACAAAGAGCAGCTAGGTGTACAAGTGGGCAGCTACAGTTACAAACAGCTTGGTGGTGGCCACAGGAACAGCCATGCCTCTGTTTCTCTCTCTGCTGGAGGCAGAAGAGCTGAGGGTTCAATGTGGGGTCAGCCAAGGTGCTCTTTCCCAATCTCCCATACTGGCAGGTGTCATAATTGTACCTGATACACACGATTGCACATGATGCGGGGCACCCCTACCATCTCAGACTCATAACTTCACACGTATGGTTATATCACCGTAACACGTTCACAGCCACACATTCTCCCATCCAGACATTTATCTTTCATTTACGGCGCCTTCCTTGCCCAGACGCCCATGCTGCCTAGCCAGGGTTAGAGCCCCCTGAGCACATAGGCATCCTGGAACTCACGGGAGAGCAGATGAAAAAAAAAAAAAAAAAAATCCTCACTACACAAAAAGTGAGGCAATCTGGGAGGGCCTCCCTGAGGAGTGGAGGCAAGAAAAGGGCAGAGAGAGGACAGAGGGGACAGGATGCACTTTGCAGCCCGACATCTAGAGAGCAGATGAATACCCAATGCCGCTGCGACGACTTTTAGGGCCAGGCCCCGCCCTCTTGTCCTATCCGGAGGCTGCAGCGGGAGGAGGGTCCTTTGGGGGCGGGATGATCCTAAGCTTGCGGTCCACGCTCCAGGGCGGGGCGTGGGGAGGGCGGAGCTGGCCGCAGTGAGGAGGACCCAGGGGGTGGATCCCGGATCCAAGCTTCGAGTTACCCGGTGCAGGCCCCACGCAGAGCCAGGCAGGGACAACGGCGCCGACTCCGCCACGGGAACTGGGACGGCCCCTACAGTCTCCGGTCTCCGCCCCTCCACCCCGCCCTGGCCACGTGGTGGGCGTACCCGGGCGGTTTTGAGATAGCGACCTCGGTGGACCCTGAGACCTGGCGAGAGTACCGAGAGGGCCCTGAGAGAGGAGAGCACGGGACGGAAACCTGGAGAGAGCAAGGTTGGGAAACCTTAGGGAGGGGTTGAGGTGGGGCTCCGTGGCATAAAAGCCTGGCCTTTGGGAGGAATATTTTGAGGAGGGTGTAGGGAGTCAATGAATGTCTCTTTCAGACCAAGTTCTCCTACTTCCTGAGCTGTCTCTGAACCTCTCTGAGCCTCAGCTTTCTCTTTTGTCAAGTGGGCACTAAAAGCACAAACTTACTTCCTTAGGACTCTTTTGGGGATTAAATGAGGAAACGTTTAGAAAGTAGCTAGCCCAGAATGGGGGAGTCAAGCCGAGGTGGGAGCAGCATTGGAAAGGCCAGAGTGCAGGTGCAGCCACCGGGCCCAGCTGCTACCGGCGGGAGAGGGGAGTAATTAGCTACTGACTTTGCCCAAGCCAGCACGCGGCGCCATGACCACCAAGGGTCCCGAGTCCGAGCACCCCTCCGTGACGCTCTTCCGCCAATACCTACGCATCCGCACTGTGCAGCCCAATCCCGACTATGGTGAGAATGCAGGGTCTTAAGGCCTGTGATGTGGCCTCAGGGGCTGGGAGGGCGCTGTACACTGTTTTCGACACCTGTCACCCAATGGGACCCCACTCTGCGTTTCTGATGCCTCGTTTTCTGTAGCCATCCATATATCGACTGGCCAAGGCAACCGGTCCCACTATGTACCATCCTTTCCCCGTGCCGTGCAGCTCGCATGTTTACTCCTGGCAGCCAGTTAAAGAATGGCTTCCCCTCCCTCCTCAAGGGCCAGAGTGGAGTGGGGAGACTGGGGCAACCACAAAGAGACACCTCATTCCCAGTCTACCAAAGCTGAACAAAAGGCACAGCCCTTAGGGAATTAGGCTTGGTGGCTGGGAATCTTGTGCATGGATCCAAATCCTGTTGTAAAGACTTTGGGTGAGTCTCTTCACCTCTGATGTCTCTATCTTCAAGAAAGATAGTATCTGACCTTCACAGAAGATCTCTTAAGGGCCAAGAACATTGTGTTCCTTGGGTACACGGATGCAGGTGTCTTTAGGGATTTGGAATTGTGTTGGGAAGGCAACTGTACATCTCTGGGCTGCCTGGGCCGGTGGGTACCAGCAAAAGCAGTGCCAAGGCTCTCTGTTTCCCCAGGGGCTGCCATTGCCTTCCTTGAGGAGAGAGCCCACCAGCTGGGCCTGAGCTGTCAGAAAGTAGAGGTGAGCCTGGGATCCTGAGCAGGGTGGAAATGTGGGCTCGGGGACACCTAGTCACCTGGTACTGACTGCCTGCCTCCTGACCTCACCCTCACAGGTGGTGCCTGGCTACGTGATCACTGTGCTGACCTGGCCGGGCACCAACCCTACACTCCCCTCCATCTTGCTAAACTCCCATACAGATGTGGTACCTGTCTTTAAGGTATGTATAGATAGGCATGGGCAGGCCTAGAGGACAGATGTGGTGTAGAGTTCAGGGTGTCCCCCAGAAACCCATGGTGCTGATTCCACCACTTTTGTTGTTGTTGTTTTGGTTTTGGTTTTGTTCCCCCACCCCCACCCCCACCCCTGAAACAGAATCTCACTATGTAGCTCTGATTGTCCTGGAACTTGCTATGTAGGCCAGGCTGGCCTCAAACTCACAGAGATCCTCCTGCCTCTGATTCCTGAGTGCTGGGATTAAAGGTGCATGCCACTATGCCTGATTTATCCACCACTAATTTTTTTCATTTATTTATTTATTTATTTATTTATTTAATTTATTTTTGGTTTTTCGAGACAGAGTTTCTCTTTCTCTGTAGCTTTGGAGCCTGTCCTGGAACTAGCTCTTATTTATTTATTTGTATACAGTGTTTTGTCTGTATGCTTGCTAGCCAGAAGAGGGCACCAGATCTTATTACAGATGGCTGTGAGCCGCCATGTGGTTGCTGGGAATTGAACTCAGGACCTCTGGAAGAGCAGTCAGTGCTCTTAACCTCTGAGCCATCTCTCCAGCCCCTGGAACTAGCTCTTGTAGACCAGGCTGGTCTCGAACTCACAGAGGTCCGCCTGCCTCTGCCTCCCGAGTGCTGGGATTAAAGGCATGAGCCACCACTGCCCAGCCCACCACTAATTCTTAGCCTTCGTATGGCACGGCTCTATACAGGCAGCCTTTGTCCAGTAAGGGTTCTGGCTAGGGAGGGGGTAAGGCCGGAAACTGATGGGGGATGGGGGACGGAAATCAACTAGCTGTTTTCTTTAGCCCTCCTTCTAACCCTCTCACCATATTTCAATTCTGTGGCGGGCCCCTCTTCCCACCTTTGCCTCCAGGAACATTGGCATCATGACCCCTTTGAAGCCTTCAAGGATTCCGAGGGCTACATCTATGCCAGGGGCGCCCAGGACATGAAAAGTGTCAGCATCCAGTGAGTATCCTCCAGTCCCAGTCCCCCGCTGGGCTCAGCAAGAAAACAGATGTGACTGAAAAGCCCCCCAAGCCAAACAAGGATCATCTTGACTTTCTAAATAAAGCAGAAATTACTACCATGACCATTTATGGATGGGGAAACAGGCCCAGAAAGGGGCAGGGGGTTTTCTGGAGGCCCTGAAATACGTGGCAGGGACGTGTCAAGGGCACAAGACTCCTCTACCCTGCATACCATTAGTACTGCTCTACCCTGCACACCCTGCACACACAGCGCTGCCTCTACCCTGCACACCCTGCACACACAGCGCTGCTCTACCCCGCACACCACACTTAGCCTCTGCTCCCTTAGGTACCTGGAGGCTGTGAGAAGACTGAAGAGTGAGGGCCACCGCTTTCCTAGAACCATCCACCTGACCTTTGTGCCCGGTAGGAGTGGCTTGGGGAGGGGCATCTGTGAAGAGGGGAAGGAAAGTGTGTTGTGAGGCATCTCATCACATCCCTGACACTTACAGATGAGGAGGTTGGAGGTCACAAAGGGATGGAACTGTTCGTGAAGCGGCCTGAGTTCCAGGCTCTGCGGGCAGGCTTTGCCCTGGATGAGGGTGAGCAGGTTGGCCAGCCTCCTAGGTGTAGGGAGGGCTGCAAGGGGAAGCTGAGTCACTCCACTCTGTCTGTGTACCTGCTCTCTCCCTCAGGCCTGGCCAACCCCACCGATGCCTTCACTGTCTTTTATAGTGAACGGAGCCCTTGGTGTGAGTATGGACTTGGGGTGGGAATCACTTTCTCCTGCCTCTTTTGCTAAAGCCGTTCCATAGGTCAGCTGACCAAGGCATGCAAGCCCCCTGCGCACCACCCTTTTCTTTTTCTGGGGGGCGGGTTAGAGACAGGGTTTCTCTGTAGCTTTGGAACCTGTCCTGGAACTTGCTCTGTAGACCAGGCTGGCATCGAACTCAGAGATCTGCCTGCATCTGCCTGCGCCACCACTGCCCGACACACTACCCTCTCCTAACGCCTATGCAGCTCCATGTGGTTACTTCTGGCAGCTACTTAAGAAATGGCTTCACCTCACCCCGCAAGGGCCACTTCTAGCCAGGTG